GAGAGGCGTGTCTGTTCACCGATGCCTTGGACCCAGGAACCTGGGTTCAATAGCAAGGAGGTGCCAGGAATCGGTCAGAATGTTGTTGGGGGAAGGGAACAGAACTTTTCAAATCAGCTCTGACATGCACGGCTTTTTTAAATAAATTTTATTTTTTTTGAGACGGAGTTGATCACTTCTGTTGGCCCGCTTGGAGTGCACGTGGTCGCTGGATTCGTCACTGCAAGCTCTTGCCCTTTCCGGGTTGCACGCCTTCTCCTGGCTCACTCCGGGTAGGATGGGATTACAAGTGTGCCCGCCACCACGGCCTGGGCTAATTTTTGTATTTTTAGTAGAGGGACAGGTTTCACGTTTTAGGGCCAGGCATGGGTCTCGACGTTGCTGGACCTCGTGATCCGCGCTCGGCCTCCAAAGTGCGGAGTTACATGACCATGACACTTTTATTAGCAAACTAAAGCCAAGAATTGCAGGCACTCACAGGCCAATCCGTGGCACCCAGTAACCCAGATGGTTCTGAGGTTCCCAGTTTTACTGGCACAGATGGCTGGTAATGGCAGCCAGGGACTTCCAGAAGCAACCAGGGGGGAGGAGGGGCTACTGCACTAACCCTCTAGGGAGTTCAGGAAAATCTAGGATCGTGATATAGTTTGCCTCTGGAGGCCCACACATTTAATGCCAAGAAACAGAGGAAACCTACTTACTGGATCAGAAGGGTTTCAGGAGGCTGGGCGGTGTTTTTTTTTTTTTTTGAGACAGAATCTGTTGCCCAGGCTGGAGTGAAGTGGCACAATTTTGGCTCACCACAACCTCTGCATTCCGGCTTCAAGCGATTCCCCTGCCTCAGGCTCCCGAGTAGCTGGGAGTACAGGTGCCTGCCACCATGCCTGGCTAATTTTTATATTTTCAGTAGAGACGGGGTTTCACTATGTTGGCCAGGCTGGTCTTGAACTCCTGACCTCAGGTGATCCACCTGCCTCGGCCTCCCAGAGTGCTAGGATTACAGGCGTGAGCCACCGTACCCGGCCACCTCTGCTTTTTTGGAGCTGACATTGTTGTGGGGGTGACAGGCAAATGGGTTAGCTGATGACTAGGATAATTTCATGAACATGTGAACCAGTGAAGCAATTAAATCAAGGTAAAGTGTGGCTGGGTGCGGTGGCTCATGCCTGTAATCCTAGCACTTTGGGAGACCAAGGCAAGAGGGTCGTGTCAGCCTAGGAATTTAAGAGCTGCCTAGGCAGCATAGCGAGATCCTGTCTCTTAACAAACAAACAAAAACAAGGTAAAGTAGGCTGGGTGCGGTGGCTCATGCCTGTAATCCTAGCACTTTGGGAGACCAAGGCAAGAGGGTCGTGTCAGCCTAGGAATTTAAGAGCTGCCTAGGCAGCATAGCGAGATCCTGTCTCTTAACAAACAAACAAAAACAAGGTAAAGTAGGCTGGGTGCGGTGGCTCATGCCTGTAATCCCAGCAGTTAGGGAGGCTGAGGCAGGTGGATCGCCTGAAGTCAGGAGTTCAAGACCAGCCTGGCCAACATGGTGAAATCCGGTCCCTACTAAAAACTACAAAAATTAGCCAGGCGTCATGGCAGGCACCTGTAATCCCAGCTACTCGGGAGGGTGAGGCAGGCGAATCGCTTGAACCCGGGAGGCGGAGGTTGCGGTGAGCTGAGATCGCGCCATTGCGCTCCAGCCTGGGCAACAGGAGTGGAACTCCGTATCAAAAAGAAATAAAAAAGCAAGGTCAAGTAGTAAGAGAAGCAGTAAGAGTGAGCGGAATAGGGGTCCCTGACCTCTTGGGAGAGGAGACATTGGAGGTGGTGATGATTTGCTGAGGCAGCCACACACGTTCAGCTTGTGAGGACAGCAGGTGTGTGACGGGGGATGAGGGAGGAAGCTGGCAGATCTGTGCAGATGAGAGGTGCCTGTGGCCTTGGGCTCATGGAAGTGGGAGGTAATGGGATTCTAATGTGCTCGGGTACAGTTTACAAATACAACCTCTCTTAGTTTGCCCAATACCTCCAAATTCCTGGGCTGGCACACCTGAGGTTCAGGTGGCATGACTGAGCCAGTCACACGTCCCCGCTGTAGGATACCACCACGGTTTGGTTAGATTCCAGCACATGGGGGTCCCAGCCTGGCCTCTTGGTCCCACCTCACCTGGTGACTGGTGCAGACCACTCTGTTCTTGCCTGTTTCAGGCAGCGGAGGAGGAGAAAGAGATGGACCTCCCGGACTCGGCCTCGAGGGTCTTCTGCGGCCGCATCCTGAGCATGGTGAACACAGATGATGTCAACGCCATCATCCTGGCCCAGAAGAACATGTGAGTGGAGGCTGGGGGATGTGAGTGTGGGAAGGAATCCACGGGCTGGCCAACATTCTTGTCTTGCCCGCCCCTACCCGGGGCCCACACTGGTGATAAAATGAAGGAAATGAGCAAATCTGTCGCTGGCTCCAAAGTAAATTCCTTCCCGGCCTGGAGGCGAGGCCTTGGCACGGGAAGCAGGGCTTTGGGGAGGTTTTGCAGCTGCGGACGGCTTGGCGGGGGCCGCAGGGGCTCCTGTCCCGAGGCCTGGGGTGGGGAGAGTTGAAGGACCAGAGGGGGCCATATGCAGGGTTTTTTGTTTATTTGTTTCTTGTTTTTGAGACAAGAGTTTCGCTCTTGTTGCCCAGGCTGGAGTGCAATGGCGCGATCTCGGCTCACTGCAACCTCTGCCTCCTGGGTTCAAGTGATTTCTCCTGCCTCAGCCTTCCAAGTAGCTGGTATTACAGACATGTGCCACCATGCCCAGCTAATTTTTGTATTTTCAGTAGAGGTGGGTTTCAAGTCAGATTCAGATGTGACTCTGGGGAACTTCCAGACTGAGGGGAGACAAAGCCAGACACAGACCCTCCTGGCCCTATGGTGTCAGGGCTGGGCCAGAGGAACAACCTGGGGCTAGTGGAGTTAAAAGAGTCTGATTGGGCCGGGCGCAGTGGCTCACGCCTGTAATCCCAACACTTTGGGGGGCCGAGGTGGGCAGATCACGAGGTCAGGAGATTGAGACCATCCTGGCTAACATGGTGAAACCCCGTCTCTACTAAAAATAAAAAAAAAAAATTAGCCAGGCGTGGTGGCAGGCACTTGTAGTCCCAGCTACTCGGGAGGCTGAGACAGGAGAATGGCCTGAACCCAGGAGGCGGAGCTTCCAGTGGGCTGAGATCGCACCACTGTACTCCAGCCTGGGCAACAGAGCAAGACTCCATCTCAAAAAAAAAAAAAAAAACAGACTGATTGAATGAAGAGGTAGACAAGGCTACATGAGAAGGACACCCTTGAGTAGGGTTTTGAAGGTTGAATGGGAGTTTGCTAGGTGGCTCAAAGAGTAGGTAAAACTCTGCAGGACAAGGGAACAGCCCATGCAGAGGTTGTGAAGCAGGCAAGGGCTTGGCATGAACAGTCAGCTGTGCCAGGTTGGGCAGGGCCCCGAAGCTGGGCAGCTCATGCCCTCTCTCCACCATCAGGCTGGACCGCTTTGAGAAGACCAATGAGATGCTGCTCAACTTCAACAACCTGTCCAGCGCCCGCCTGCAGCAGATGAGCGAGCGCTTCCTGCACCACACAAGGACCCTGGTAGAGATGAAACGGGACCTGGACAGCATCTTCCGCCGGATCAGGTGGGTGCTCAGCCCCACCCCAGGGCCCCAGCTGACCTCTGCCTCCACCTCCCCATGTAAGCCTCAGTTTCCTTCACATACCAGTATAAAGGGGAGATTTCTGTTTGTTTTACAAGGCTTTGCTGTGCACTTAAGTGTCTGGGACAATTCCAACCTTGGGATAAAATCTTGATGTAAGTTTATTTACTGATGGATTAATTGATCAAGACAGAGTCTTGATCTGTGGCCCCAACTGGAGTGCAGTGGCGTCATCTTGGCTTACTGCAACCTCTGCCTCCCGGATTCAAGCGATTCTTGTGCTTCAGCCTCCTGAGTAGCTGGGATTACCAGCATACTCTACCATGCCCAGCTAATTTTTGTTGTTGTTGTTTTATTTTTGAGTTGGAGTCTTGCTCTGTTGCTCAGGCTGGAGTGCAGTGGTGCAGTGTTGGCTCACTGCAACCTCTGCCTCCCGGATTCAAGCGATTCTCCTGCTTCAGCCTACTGAGTAGCTGGGACTACAGGTGCATGCTGCCACGCCCAGCTGATTTTTTGTATTTTAGTAAAGACGAGGTTTCACCGTGTTGCCAAGGCTGGTCTCGATCTCCTGAGCTCCGGCAATCCACCTGCCCTGGCCTCCTAAAGTGGTGGGATTACAGGTGTGAGCCTAATTTTTGTATTTTGTGTAATTTTTGTATTTTTTTTAGTAGAGACAGGGTTTCCCCATGTTGGCCAGCCGCATCTCAAACTCCTGGCCTCAGGTGATCCATCCACTTTGACCTCCCAAAGTGCGGGGATTATAGCCTTGCAGTTTATTTATTCTTCAAAAACGTAACATAGTGCAGCTGAGCGTGGTGGCTCACACCTGTAATTCTAGCACTTTGGGAGGCTGAGGCGGGCAGATTAGAAGGTCAGGAGATCGAGACCATCCTGGCTAACATGGTAAAACCCCGTCTCTACCAAAAATACAAAAAATTAGCTGGGCGTGGTGGCGGGCGCCTGTAGTACCATCTACTCAGGAGGCTGAGGCAGGAGAATGGTGTGAACCCGAGAGGTGGAGGTTTCAGTGAGCCGAGATCGTGCCACTGCACTCCAGCCTGGGCGACAGAGCGAGACTCTCTCTCAAATTAAAAAAAAAAAAAAAAGGTAACATACTGCTAGACACATAATGAAAAGGCAGAAATGGCCAGGCACAGTGGCGCATGCCTGTAATTCCAGCAGTTTGGGAGGCTGACGCAGACGGATCACCTGAGGTCAGGAGTTCGAGACCAGCCCAGCCAATGTGAAGAAACCCTGTCTCTATTAAAAACACAAAAAATCGCCGGGCACGGTGGCTTATGCCTGTAATCCCAGCACTTTGGGAGGCCGAGGCAGGCGGATCACGAGGTCAGGAGATCGAGACCATACTGGCAAACACGGTGAAACCCTGTGTCTACTAAAAATACAAAAAAATTAGCCAGGCACAATGGCGGGCGCCTGTAGTCCCAGCTTCTTGGGAGGCTGAGGCAGGAGAATGGCGTGAACCCGGGAGGCGGCAGAGCTTGCAGTGAGCCGAGATCGTGCCACTGCCCTCCAGCCTGGGTGACAGAACGAGACTCCGTCTCAAAAAAAAAAAAAAAAAAAAATCAGCTGAGCACGGTGGCACGTGCCTGTAATCCCAGGTACTCGGGAGGCTGAGGGAGGAGAATCATGTGAATCCAGAAGGTGGAGGTTGCAGTGAGCCAAGATGGCACCACTGCATTCCACCCTGGGTGACAGAGCGAGATTCTGTCTCAAAAAATAAAAAAAAGAGTTTATCAGAGTAGAGGAGGCCACATGTAAGAAGAGGCCTTGTAGGGGGAGCCCCCAGCCAGTGCCTAGGCTCAGAGCACCCAGAGTCTTAACTAGTTGGGGGTTGTTGCCTACCCTGGGGCTGGAGGCCGGCTGGTGAGCGACTGTCAGGGCCGTGGCTGTGGGGCCGAGCACCTAGAGAGAGTGAAGATGTGATGTGATGAACAGTGTGGGGTTCTCACTCCCATCTCCCCTTGCCCTCAGCCGGCAGCAGGGGCCTGTGACTGGCACAAGGCCTGGCCTGCCTGCTCAGCAGGTTAAGCCCTGTGTGCCTTCTCTCCCCTGCAGGACGCTGAAAGGGAAACTGGCCAGGCAGCACCCAGAGGCCTTCAGCCGTAAGTGTCATGCAGGGCTCCGGCTCCCGAGCATGTCAGCACTCTCCGCCCAGGGCAGGCTTCTGGAAGGCCACCTTGGGGCCTGATCTTGAGACCAGGCTGTAATGGGCAGTGGGTCTGGAGAAACCTGGGGCGGGGGCGGGGGCGGGGTGCTGGCCTAGTCTTCTCGGCAGCCTACAAGGCTGGCGCTAGGACGGGAGTCCGTGCCCTGTGGGGAGGCCGCACAGGGAATGTGGATAAGCAGCATGATGATCCTTATCCCCGTGTGCATCATGAGCCCCTGTGAAGCAGGCTGTTACCCACAGTCACCCATGAGGTGGGGACTGTGAGTATCCCCGTTTCATGGAGAGGGAAACAGAGGCCCAGAGGGGCAGGACTTGAGTGCACATCCGTCTGGCTAGAGAGCCCATCTGTTCTCTGGGGTACCACTCCATGTTGCCACCACCTTAAAGGGCTCTGCAGGCTGAGCCTGGGTTCACCCCATCTGTTGAAAAGGCCGACGGCTCTCCATCCTAGGGCCTCCAACAGCAGTTTACAGAGCAGAGACCCGGGCTGAGGGGAGGTCATGTACCTAGGCCAGGTAGTGCAGTGAGCCAGGCTTGCCCTCACGGCTCCTGTAGGCCCAACCCCAGAGCTTGTGTCCCTTCCTCACCTCGCCTTGAAGGGAGAGCTCTTCCCTGCCTGGACCTCAGTTTCCTCCTCTACAAAATAAAAATGGGCCAAGTCTGCCGGGCGCGGTGGCTCATGCCTATAATCCCAACACTTTGGGAGGCCGAGGCGGGTGGATCACCTGAGGTCGGGCGTTCGATACCAGCCCTACCAACATAGAGAAACCCCGTTTGTAGTAAAAATACAAAATTAGATGGGCGTGGTGACGGGCACCTGTAGTCCCAGCTACTCGGGAGGCTGACGCAGGAGAATTGCTTGAACCCGGGAGGCGGAGGTTGCAGTGAGCTGAGATCGCACCATTGCACTCTAGCTTGGGCAACAAGAGCGAAACTCCGTCTCAAAAAAAAAAAAAAAAGGGCCAAGTCATGCCCCCATGGGGTGAGGGCAGCCGTTATGGGTCACGTGGACAATAAATCCTACATCACAGTGCTTGGCAAGGTGACAAAACCAACTCTTGGGCCTCCTTCCTCCAGATATCCCGGAGGCGTCCTTCCTGGAGGAAGAGGATGAAGACCCCATCCCACCCAGCACCACGACCACCATCGCCACCTCAGAACAGAGCACGGGCTCATGTGACACCAGCCCCGACACCGTCTCGCCGTCCCTGAGCCCTGGCTTCGAGGACCTGTCCCATGTCCAGCCTGGCTCCCCAGCCATCAACGGCCGCAGCCAGACAGATGATGAGGAGACGACGGGCGAATAGACCTACTGCCCGGTGCCTTGAGGGGTCTCAGGGCAGCGGCATACAAGGTGGCAGCGGGTAACCCTGCCTTGTTCTGTCACCCAGGGCTCCTTTGCTGCCCCGTTCTGTCACCCAGGGCTCCTAGGGGAACAGGGCTGTCTCCCGAGGGGTGTGAAATTCCTGGGGGGTCTTTAATTCTGGCTCCTTCCTTCCTCAGAACACCTCTCTTCTGCAAGACCCCTCTGCCATGCCAGGGCACGCCCATTCCGGCTGGAGTCGCAGGGCTGGGCACGGGAATTTTTCCAGAGCTGAGCCTGACGTCTGCTCTGAAGAATGCTTGAAAGGTTCCCAGAGACCAGAGCCAGATGTCCCCCACCCCCGGTCAGGACCTCCTTGAGGTGCACAAGCACGGTCTCCTCTGAGTTCACCCCAGCCCACCCCTGCACCCACTAATTCTGCTTTTCCTGCCCCTTGCTCCGTAAAAGTATCAAATACTGTCTCCTTGGTATCTCAAAGAGGTTTCTGAGATAGGTAGAAGTCTTGAGATGGAGGCTGGCCATCCATTCAGCCCTGAGCATGCTGAGGCCTGTGTTTCTCTGAGTAGAGGTGTGGAACCTGAGGGGCCAGCAGGCCTCTCTGAGGGCCTCCATGGAGCAAACGGAGCCACCTTGGGAAAGAGTTTAATGGAATATTTTTGTACCCAATGTTTACAGATGCTGTTGGGAAGTTATCAATAAAAAGACACCATTACTAAAAAGGGAAAAGTACACCTAGCCATGGCTTCTTCCATCCTTAGGCCAAGCAATCCAAAAGATGGGCAAGTGCTGGATGTGGGGCTGGGGGCCCTGCTGGAGGGAGGTGCAGACAGTCAGGCACCACAGAGCTAGAAAGAGACGTGGCCCTTTTTTGGAATCCCCCTGGTGGGAGCTAGAACTACCCAAGTTCCCATCACCTGCTAGGTCTTCCCTCACGCTGCTCTCACTGCTCACAATACTACCGTTCCCATCCTCCTTTCATAATTCCTCCTCCAGATCTCAGTCTTCCTCCAGATCTGGGAGCCACACTAAATCCATTCCCCATCAGACACACTCCGAGGGTTACCTCATCTTCTGAGTACTCAGAAATTATGTTGTTACGACCGGGCTTGGTGGCTCATGCCTGTAATCCCAGCACTTTGGGAGGCTGAGGCAGGTGGATCACCTGAGGTCAGGAGTTCAAGACCAGCCTGGCCAACATGGTGAAACCCCGTCCCTACTAAAAATACAAAAATTCGCTGGGCGTGGTGGCGCACACCTGTAAACCCAGCTATTTGGGAGGCTGAGGCAGAATTGCTTGAATCCAGGAGGCAGAGGTCGCAGTAAGCCAAGTTCGCATCACTGCACTCTAGCCTGGGCAACAAGAGCGAAACTCTTGTCTCAAAAAAGAAAAAGAAATTATGTTCCTAAAGGCATCTTCCCAGACATGAGAGTGTCTGCTTTTGCCTGGTATAGTAGCGCCTGCAAATGTTCAAGGAAATAAACAGGTACCCCTGTTAAGCCTATAGGTGACTTCTCATTGCTCCCCATCTTCTCTGTACTTAGCACTTTTGTATTTTTTATTTATTTATTTTTTTGGAGACAGCATCTCTCTTTGTTGCCCAAGCTGGAGTGTAGTGGTCCAATCATGGGTCACTGCAACCTCAAACCCCTGGGCTCAAGCAATCCTCCAACCTCTTAAGCAGCTGGGACTACAGGTGCGCACCACCACACCTGGATAATTAAAAAAATTTTTTTGTTTTTTTGTAGATTCAGGGTCTCGCTATGTTTTCCAGGCTGGTCTTGAATTCCTGGCCTCAAGTAATCCTCCCTCTTTGACCTCCCAAAGTGCTGGGATTACAAGTGTGAACCACTGCACTCGCCCTGGCACTTTTTTTTTTTTTTTTGAGATGGACTCTCACTCTGTTGCCCAGGCTGCAGTGCTGTGGCATGAACTCAGCTCACTGCAACCTCCACCTCCCAGGTTCAAGTGATTCTCCTGCCTCAGCCTCCTGAGTAGCTGGGATTACAGGCATGCACCACCATGCCCAGCTAATTTTGTATTTTTAGTAGAGATGGGGTTTCTCCATGTTGGTCAGGCTGGTCTCCAACTCCCCACCTAAGGTGATCCACCTGCCTCTGCCTCCCAAAATGCAGGCGTGAACTACCGGGCCCAGCCTGCCCTGGCACTTTTTAGCCACCCAGAAATCTGGATCCTACATTGAAAAGAGACCCTGCCGGGTGCAGTGGCTCACGCCTGTAATCCCAGCACTTTGGGAGGCCGAGGCGGGCGGATCACCTGAGGTCGCGAGTTCGAGACCAGCCTGAACAACATGGAGAGACCCCCGTCCCCACTAAAAATACAAAATTAGCTGGGCATGGTGGCGCACATCTGTAATCCCAGCTACTAGGAAGGCTGAGGCAGGAGAATTGCTTGAACCCGGATAGCGGAGGTTGCGGTGAGTCGAGATCCCGCCACTGCACTCCAGCCTGGGCAACAAGAGCAAAACTCCGTCACAAAAACAAAAGACCTTGAGTCCCGCTTGGAACCTTTTGTAAGGCACCACCACCTTTCTGGTCGAATGCGGTAGTCCCGTCAGCTCTCCCTGCTGCTGTCCTGAAATCCATTCAGGCACAGCGGCCGAGAGCTTTATAACAACCGATTCCAGGTGTTAGGTGCTTTCCCAGCCCCGATTCGTGCGTCCTGGACCCGCAGTCCTCTGCTTAATACCTTTGCTTTATTAGAAAACGTTCTCCTCTACTCCGTTCAAGTATTCGCTGAGGGCCCGCCAAGCGTCAGCGGTTGTCAGTGGCCCAGAGGCAGCGGGCGCAAACACCGGGAGAGGTGCAATCCTCTCCTCTAGTGACTCGGCGGGAGGGGCCCATACCCGGAAGCGGGTGGGCGACGCTCACCCACGTGCGCTGCGGCTTCGTTTGCCAGCATCCAAGATGGCGGCAGGACGGGGCCCAAGGCGCGGCGCGAATTGTGACGCAGGCGTCTGGCGTGCTCCGTGCGCAAGCGCCTTCGGCGGAGATTAGGTGGTTTCCGGTTCCGCCGTCCTCTTTTTCTTCAGCGAGGCGGCTGAGCTGGTTGGTGGCGGCGGTCGAGCGGGTGCGCGCCGGTCTGAGGGCGGGTGGTGGCCTGCGGGAGGCCGCAGGGGCCTGGGCGGCAGAAGAGGTGGCCCCGAACCGGCTCATGCGGGCCAGTCTCGGCGGGGTGGCTGGGCAGGGCTCTCGAGGTCGCGGCTCCGAGCCCAGACCTGGGCCCAGGAGGCGAGCGCCGTTTTGGAGAGGCGCCTGCGTGCTCTGCCTGCCAGCGTGACCCCACGAGGCCTCGGGCGGGATGGCGTCCTCTGGGCAGATCCGAGTTAATGAGAGAGGGTATTGAGCGTGTAGCGTTAACTCTGCCAGTCACTGCGTGTAAATAGTTTGGAAATACTAAATTCCTCGAGCTGAGTGTTCATACCTGGCTCCATTACTGTGTCTGTAAGGAGGGGCTGGTGGTAGCGTCTGCCTTTTAGACTCTTCTTTAGACTATTTGTATTTTTTTCAGAAGGAGTCTCGCTCTGTCGCCTAAGCTGGAGTTCTCGGCTCACTGCAACCTCCACCTCCCGGGCTCGAGCGATTTTCCTGCCTCAGCCTCCCGAGTAGCTGGGATTACAGGCGCCCGCCACCACGCCCAGCTGATTTTTTGTGTTTTTAGTAGAGACGGGGTTTCACCGTGTTGGCCAGGTTCATCTTGAACTCCTGACCTCAAATGATCCGTCTGCCTCGGCCTCCCAAAGTGCTGGGATTACAGGCTTGAGCCCCTGCACCCGGTCGATTCGTTGCCTTTTTAAGTCAACTTTTATATGTAAACAATGCTTGGCAAGTGGTTGGTAGATACTAAGTGATGTTTGTGGTTTGGGGTCAAGGCAAGAAGTGGGGTCTGGAGAGTTTTGGCGTAATTGAGAAGGAAACTAAGAGTGTTGGGTGCCCCAGCTTGGAATTAGAGAGAGGAGAGAGGCTGCGACAGGAAGACGTGTGTTGTAGGGGATGGCTTCCCATCCAGGCTGGCAGCAGGAGCAACCTGTGGAGGAGATCAGGACGTGGCTGTAGTGGGAGAGGGTGGGACGGTTCTCAGGAAGATGGATCTGGCAAGATGATGCCAAAGGGTATTTATTCCATCAGGAGATACTGACGAGTCCTTCTGCGGCTAAGCCTAAGGAGAATAAGCACAGTCTGTGTTCCTGAAGAGCGCCCATGCAGTCAGGAGGGTGGAGGACATGTGATCCTTCGTTCCAGGACATGTGTAGACTCCAGGCCAGGGTGTGTGAGAAGCTTAGTAGGGCCAGGCTTGGAGGAGTGGAAGGAAGACAGGTACTGGGGCAGGACCAGTTGGGCATGGTGCAGGCAAAGGGATAGCATCTGGGGTGTAGGCACCTGAGCTTGCGCCACTCAGGCATGCATTGCTCACCAGTCTCTCCTGCCTCCCTTCCTCCAGCAGACGCAAACATGCAGATCTTTGTGAAGACCCTCACGGGCAAAACCATCACCCTCGAGGTCGAGCCCAGTGACACCATTGAGAATGTCAAAGCCAAAATTCAAGACAAGGAGGGTGAGTCGGGACTGGGTGTGGGGGCTCTGGCTATGGACTGGGAATCCCTCTCTGCCCAGGGGAGTTTCAGTCCTGTGTGGGTTGGTGCTGGCTTTAGACAGACCTGTTTTGCCCTTGTTTCTCCATGTGATCTGAAGAACGTCTGTTATCTCTACCTCAGTTCGCCATTTTGAGAGACTGGGGGTAGTGCTGGGACTCCTCTGCCGGGGACACTGCCAGTAGTATGCTCCACAGAGCCTCTAACTGAGCCTTCCTCCCCCTAAGGTATCCCACCTGACCAGCAGCGTCTGATATTTGCCGGCAAACAGCTGGAAGATGGCCGCACTCTCTCAGACTACAACATCCAGAAAGGTACTAGGGTTGGGGTTGCTGGGCAGGGACCCAAGATCCCCAGGTCCTAGGAAAAGAGCATTGACGGCTTCAGTCAGGGGTTGGGGAGCAGTTCAAATGACTTGTGTTTTGTTTAAAATAATGGGACTGGGCACAGTGGCTCACGCCTGTAATCTCGGCATTTTGGGAGGGTGAGGCAGGTGGATCACCTGAGGTCAGGAGTTCCAGACCAGCCTGGCCAACGTGGTGAAATCCTATTTCTATTAGAAATACAAAAATTGCCGGCCCGGGCGCGGTGGTCAACCTGTAATCCCAGCACTTTGGGAGGCCAGACGGCGCATCAACGAGGTCAGGAGATCGAGGACCATCCTGGCTAACACGGTGAAACCCCATCTCTACTAAAAAAAAAATACAGGCCGGGCGCGGTGGC